CGTTCCTGTAAAATGTACTTTCCTCTGGTTTTATTTTTGAACGGAATTTAAGAGCGACATTAAAGTAATAGATCGTTCCTCCTGTTAAATTTCTTGTAAATACGAGATTTCTGGCAATGCGATCGTAATGCAGGGTTTTATTGATATAATTAAAGAAACAAAAGGACGGTTACAACGGGGCTCAGTAAGTCGAAGAACTGCTCTGGTAGAAAACGATTATTTTAACTTTTGATGATAAAAAGGACGTATTTGTATTGCGGGTAATAATTTGCATGCGTTAAGTGCAGCTACATATTCATATACACAGAGTGCTAATGAACTTATGTCAACAATTTAAAGGGGTGAAAAAGGAGCAAAAACTTGAGTTAACTGATGTCACAAACTTGTATCGGAAGTTTAAGGTCATAGAGAAAAAAGTTAATTAAAAATGTGTTTAAAACTGTTTTGGAACTGCTGAAATACATGTTTATCGCAGCGAGTACTTACAAAGATTTCTGTAACATTTTTTACGAGTTTGTAGGTTTCCTATGAAGCCAGACTATATTCGAAAGTCAGTTTGTAATACATTGTTGTAGTGATTGCTGTGCTGTTTTTCGAGAGTACATTTAATAGCCGTATTTACAAGTTTTCTTTTCAACATTGCGCATTTATTTAGCAATCGCGAATATTATGATATGCTCATGATTTATAGCGAGGCAAACGAAAATGCCTCCAGAGCTTGTCAAGTGTACCGTGCAAGATATCCTGAACGACGTACTCCCGCACCACAAATATTTGTTGCTGTAGTGTAAAGAGTTTTGGACACCGGTGAAGTGAAGTGTTGTGTATTCCATGGAAGTTCGTGACATCGACCAACTGCGACATAATTGCCGAAGCCTGCAATACAATTCGAGAGGACGTGGCAATGTTGCAACGCGTGCGAGCGAATTGGATACGTCGCGCTGAAGCTTGTGTGCAAGCAAATGGTGGGTACATCGAACATCTTCTATGAAAATCAGCAGTTCTCAAAAGGTGGCTCCTTGCAATGTTGAGGTAAGCCAGATTTTAAAATTACATTTTTCTCAACACAAATCCGAGTATTTACCTTATTTTGACATAATGAACATATGGCAAAAATATTTGACATACGTTTATTAACACCTTGTATATCGATAGTTGCAAATTGACGAAATAATATTAACTACAATATATCTATCCAAAATCCAAAAAAAGTAAGTATTTGGGACACAAATGTTGAATTTTCCGATCAGATATTAATATATTAGCGTTTCCGATTCAGACATATGAACGAGATTGAGAAGGAACGCATTCGGCTAGAAGGAATAAAACGTAGCTGAAACTTTTTATTGTTTTGTCCCTTGCGCATTTGTGGACGGATCTGTCTCAGACGTAAACTTATTTATGTATTTCTTCGACGTAGCATCTAAAGACGAGCTTATTTATTTAACTTTTCTCTCCCTTATATAAAAGGTTAGAGTATCAAAGTGACATCGGCAACATTGCATAACTGATGCACGTTATGCGTAAATACCCATGTCAGTGATTCCCAACAAGTTTTCTATTAAGAAATAAAGAATATTTATTTTAAGCTTGACTTTTTTATTCCTAATATTTTCGATTATTAAGTCCTAATTGGACCCTTTGTCCAAATATTTTTTAGCCACTCCATCAACTGAATCCATGCTAGGTTCAGTTGTTGAGATGTCCATCTTAAATTAATCCAAAGCAGCATACAACAGCAACGCAATTAAACCGCGACTGATACGCATGAAATGAAAGCTATTACACGTTGTGAATTACGGTTCATTATGAAAGCGTGTCGTTGCCGGAGATTGGGCCGTTCGATCCGTTTCATTGACCAATAGTTTCAAAACCACGTGCTTGATCATTGTTTACACCGGAAAGTACGTTAACTTTACGTCTGAATTATTTGATATGACAGCAGGGTGGCGGACGGGCAAATATCTACTATACCTATATAACAAATTAATGGTTTATGTTACAATGTCTTTTTATATCACATTTAAAATCCACATAAAACTCGCATAGAATTTACACACCTAACATTAAAAAGATATAGTGGTACATTAACACCCAAGTTTTATGCAAATACCTACTGCATAGAACGAATTTAGTTCCATTTAGTTACGATCATTTCAACAATTGAAATGGTTAATTCACTCATGTATTTTATTAGGCACAAAAATAATTATGTCAGTAAAAAAATTTAGTACATTAATATTAACAAAATTGCTTTTTTTCTATTACGTTCGAAGTATAATTTGTGGAGAAAAATGGTATTTTATCTGTCTGTTCTGGATTTGAATATTATCTGTAAATGAATATAAATTTTCTCTTTTAATACATACATTTTTTACACCTTTTTACACTTAATAAAATTTATGTATTCTTTAGATTGTGTTTTAGTTTTAAAAGCAGTAAATGTAGAATAGTCTTTTCAATGTACTGACACTATTTGAAACGCTGAAAATATCAAACTCAAATCCATTACTTTACTGTTCGATTTTCCTTAAAAAATAATCCCGAGTTTAAGTTTATTCCGCTAGTTTGATGGTTAGTTTTGTATAAACAAAATATATAGGTTTTTGTATTAAAAACGGTGCGTTGACACAGATTTTAAAATGATATAATGCTCACGATTTTCATTTAATAAAAAAGGATCTTTCTCGACAAAAAGACCATGTTTTTGACCATGTTTTTGACCATGTTTTGAAAATGTTAAATGTAAAAATTAAGGCGAGATAGCAATATGATGTCATATATACTTGTAGGTTTAAAGCGTTTATAATTATTATTATTAAGAAGAAAAAACAAGTGCTGTTTCACCTTTCAACTCTAATTTGTTTAAGTACTGTAAATAGAAGTAAAAAAAAACAATTTAATTACTGTTTAAATATAAAAGAACAAAATATTTTCATCAAAGTATAACATTTTTAACATAAATTTAAAATTATCTGTTTTTGTAGAAAAATAACCACATCTTTTTCTCTGAAGTGGAACTTGGTAAAACTTGCACCAATAATGACGTAGTACATTTTTTATAGTAATAACTGTTAAAATAGGGCAATTATATCATTTAAAATGTAATAACCTGAAGGAAGAATACCCTTAGTTTCCACAAATTCAATTCCTTTTTTAGTTTTGAAGACACTGAATTAATTTTGTACTAAGCATTACCGGCACGTACAATACCACTAACTTTATTTTCTCATGCTCTACTTTCTGTAAGTTTTTGTGAAACTCCGACCAGAAACTTTTCTCGTCTATTACTTCTTTTGAGGTCCTGCTGTGGATGGATGGATGGAGAAATAGGCAAGTCCCGATTAAGTATATTTAACAAATATAAAACAATTCTGATGAACGTAAATATGTTGATTTTAGATTAACATTTTTATTTTTAGTTTGTACCTAAAGTAGAAATTATTAAATACACTTTAACAAAGTTTTCCATATATTTTTATTTTCAAAATGAGATCATTTAAATAGCTTTATATATCTCAAATTATGATGTGTAAATAGGGCTGTTGATAAGGTAAAGTTGAACATAGATTCGGAAGGAAATAATCAAAGGGCGACAGAGACAAAGTTTATTAAATGTGTTAACAGACATGTTTCCCAAACAAAGTTAATCGTGCGCTTTATGTCGTAATTACGTGGAGATTATTGCAGAAGTAGCAGGCTAAAGAAATAACTAAGGCACATGTATTCAACACTTATTCGAAAAAAATGTTTAGACGCGAGAACTTATTTCGGGCATTTAATATTCTTAAGTGGATAAAAGGCAATTTAATCAATGGAGGGAAAAACGGAGAGTAATAACAATAAATGAAGAAGTCATGCTACCGTATTTCTGAAATTTGAATTGGAAAATATAACAAGCTTACTGCTTATTTGAAAAGTAAATCGAGAGAGTACAAAGCAAAAGCTGCAGTATTGGAAAAAGAACATATTGAAGAATTTTTGACTGGGGCTTTTGATAAAAAATATGTAATGATTAAGGTAATATCTCTTTACCCTTTACATGTTGTTAGGTATATAGTGAACTTTGAATTATTTTAGGTTGCACTAATAATGTGAGTTTCTGGTGCCTGTCCATACTGCGAATTGACAAATTTGAAAATTAGTGACGTACAGGACATTGGCAGTTACCTACTTGTTTCAATACCTAACACCAAGACGGGCATTTTAAGGACTTTGCGTGAATGCTGTTGAAATATACAGAAAATATATTTCTTTGCGCCCAATTCGCCTAACATAAGACAGATTTTCTTCAAGATACACAATCAAAAATGTACTTCTCGGCTTGTTGGAATCAACACATAGGCGAAGGTTCCCTCAATAGTTGCTTCATTCCTGAATATCACAAATCTAGAAGCATATACTGGTCATTGTATGAGGCGCACTTCAACAACTTTAGTGGCCAATAAAATGCTGATCTTACAACCATCAAACGGCATGGTGGATGGAAAAGCTCTTCTGTAGCAGAAAGTTACGTTGATGAGTTTATATCTAACAAACTTGATATTGCAAGGAAAATCCAAGGAAAATCCAATGAAAATATAGCTGTTCCTTACAAGACGCCGTAGCCTGTGCAAATTCTTTACAAACTTCGGCAAATGTTATGTGTTCCGAAAATGATGGCAACAATGCTACAAGGGTTGTTATTAACGGAAAGGAAGTTAAATGTGATAAACCAAAAAGCGAAATATCTATTACTGTAAATGTAAAAGTTAATGTTATAATAAGTAAATAAATTAAACTTGATTTATTATAGGTTTATTATGTATTTTTTCATTTTCTACTAGTGAAATGAAGTTGCTTTATTCCACTAGTAAGTATAGTAACTTTGTACGGTATGTGTGGATAAAAGTCTGATTATAAGGAGATTGTGAATGAAACAAAAAATTTTAAATATTGAAATCTAGCTCTGCGGACCTAGTAGGTCCATGGCTTGGTTGACTATCTTTCTCCACTTGTTTCTATCCTTTGCCTTTTCTTTCCACCTGACAATTCCCAGTTGTTGTAAGTCCCTCTCCAACCTCAGATTTCCATCTTGTTTTCGGTCTTCCTCTCCTCTTCTTACCGCCAATTGTTCGTTCCATTACCATTTTTGGTATCCTTGTCCCTGGCATTCTTTCAATATGCCCCATCCATCTTAATATTTGTGCTTTTATCACACTTACTATACTTGCCTCCTTATATAAGCTTTTTATTTCCTCATTTGTTCTTCGAAACCACCCTCCTTCTGTTCTTTTCCCTCCAAAAATTTTCCTCCCCCATACTTCCAATCTTGTTTGTTCTGCTTTATTCAACGTCCACCTTTCACTGGCGTATGTAACTACTGGTCTTATCACTGTCTTGTACAGCTTTATCTTTGTTTGTCTAGAAACGTTTTTGTTTCTCAGTATTCTCTGCAACCCCGCTACACTTTTGTTTCCTAACATTATTCTGGCTCCGATTTCTTCCTCTATTTTCGGTCTCCTTCTAAATAAGGTGCCTAAATATATGAAATGTTCAACTTCCTCAAATCTGTACGTTTTCCCTCTGTTTGTATCTACTTTCGGAAACTTGTCTTTTTGATATTCTTCTTCCGACCATTCCATGGACTTAGTTTTTGTCTCATTAATATATAGTCCTCTTTTAACTGACTGCTCATCTATTCTCCTTATTACCTCTTTTAGTTCTGCTTTATTTCTTGCTAACACTACAAGATTATCCGCAAATGCCAAACACTGATGTCTTTTATAGTAAATAAGGCCTGATCTATTAATTCCTGCATCTCTTATGACTTTTTCTAGCACTAAACTAAATAACACTGGTGATAATGGATCCCCTTGTCTGACGCCGTTTTTAACTTCGAACTCTTCCGTGTATCTATTGTTACTTTTACTTTATTCTCTGTCTTTTTCAATGTTAGGCGTACCATGTTCCTTTCTTCTTGCTGATTTCTAATTCCTCTAAGACCTTATATAGCTCACTTCTTTTTATTTTGTCATAAGCTTGTTGGTAATCTACAAACAGAACTACTGTTGGCTTACCGTATTCGAAGCTTTCAGCCTGAATTTCTCGCAGAGTGAAAACTTGGTCTACTGTACTTCTTCCTTGTCTAAACCTGCTCTGATATTCACCAATTTTATCCTCCGCTTCCTTTACCAACTTGTTTTTTATACAAGTGGCCAGTATTTTATATGCTACATTTAGCAGTGCTATTCCTCTGTAGTTTTGGCATTCCCCTCTATTCCCTTTTTTATGGATAGGGCAAATTTCTGCTTCCGTCCATTCCTTTGGCAGTTCTTCCTTTACCCAACATCTTTCTAGTAGTTTCTGTAATTGGTCCGCTAGTTCATGTCCTCCATATTTAAATAGTTCGGCTGTTAATTTGTCACTTCCTGGACTCTTATTATTTTTCAATTTTGACAGTATCTCTTTAATTTCCTCTTTACTTGGCGCCGGCACCATATTGTCTCCTTCTATGTTGCTATTATTTTCTTCTCTTTCCGTATCATCGGTTTCATCTCCATTTAATAATTCTTCAAAATATTCTTTCCACCTGTTCTTGGCTGATACCACCTTTTCTCATTCTTCACTCCTTGGTATAAATTCCTAATATTGTTATTTCTTAAGTTTTCTTCTATTTGTTCTAATACCTATAAGTAGTTTCGCAATATATTTTTTGTAGTTTAGTGTGCAATTTTTTCTTGTACCAAATTTTTTTATAAAATAACATATAAAGTACTGCTAATGAATTAACTTCTTTTACAATTAATTATGTATATGAATTTTTCTTCTTTCTTTTCGTTTCTTTTCTGTAAGAGTAATTTTGTTTGGAATGAAAGGCACTTCTACTATTAACAATATATTTATAGTTCTATAACTTATAAATCTTAATGAATGTCAAATGATATACCGAGTTGAGAAGAACATTTATCCTAACAGCAAAAGTTGAATGTTTAATATAATACCATCTATCCTGTTTATAAATGTATAGAGAAGAAATTTAACCGCTGGCAAAGTTGTGCTATAAATTTCTAATCACACACCACGCATGCAAAGGAAAATAAATCCTAAGCCAGAACAGTATCTCGTAATCTAGGCCTTAAGCTCCTTGCGAGAACTACTTTCCGTAACAGGATTAGGGCTCAAAAGCGAAAATATTCGATACTCATTGCAACAGCAAACAAGTAATAATTTACCAGAGGAATCGATTATCGCCGTAGCTAAAACAACATAACAATAACAAGTAAATTTATTGTTAGATAAATCACGGTTCAGCTGTATAGAATTTAAATTCCAAACATTTGGAATGAAGACGAAACGAATTTATTGCGACTATAAATTTTCTAGTATTCACATTTAAAAGAAAAAACATTAGGAAATTATTGTGTTTTAAGAAATAAATCATACCAGCAAACTTATTTTCAATCTGTAAAATACAGGGTGTCCCAGAACATGTGGGCAATCTCTCGGATTTATACAGGGGACGTTAAAACAACATGACACGTTCCTATACAAATTTTCCCTAAAGGATGCCCATGAAAATCTATTTTTTTTTAATAACTTTTAAAATACTTTCTGTAATTTAAATATTTTTTAATACGTTGGATAACAGATAAGACTCCTTAAGAATTGACCCATGAAATTGCTTATTTGGTTTATTTGGTTTGCCAGGGACGGACTAACAGTAGCTCAATAATGTCAATTTTTTTTACACCCTTTACGATAAAGACACAAAAATAATATTTTTAGATAGTTTGAACCTTAAATTAAAAAAAGACACTCTTGGTTGATATCGATAAAATGAACTGTTTTCGAGAAAAATGAAATTTGCATTCTTTCTGTGCCTTTCTAAAAAATGCCACTTTTATTTACACTTGTTTTTCTCTTAATTTTTTGTTGATATGGTTGTTTGTTTAACATTTACCGATTTAAATAAGAATTACAAAACCTATCTGAGTCTGTCAGTTAAAGATATGTCGAAATTTGTGATATTTTCCTTATTTTTTTTATTCCACGGATTTATTTTAACTGCCGTAATAGAATTTACGTTTACTGAATATGCCGACATGCATTTATTGTATGGACTTGCATCATGTAATGCCTTAGAAGCCAGAAGGCTTTATGAGGAACGATTTCCAAATCGAAGAATTCCTGATAGGAAAACTTTTGAAAGAGTGGATCAGCGTTTAAGAGAGACTGGTAAAATTACAATCTATTTGTTACTTTAAATAATTTTAGGAACGTTTTCCAAAGCCAAACACAATTGTGGAAATCAAATCAATCGCAGTGAGGTTGCTGAAGAAGATATCCTAAATGCCGTAGAAGCAGATCCTTCAAAAAGTGTCCGGAAATTGGCTGCCCAGTTTAATTACCCAAAATCTACGGTTCTTAGAATCCTTAAAGAGCAACAATTGCACCCTTGTTACCTACAGAACACTTCTTCCTGTAGACTTTCCACGAAGGATGGAATTTTCAAACTGGGTTTTAGATAGGTACAGGTACAGAAACAATGCAAATTTCATCGGTTCAATTCTGTTTACGGACGAAGCTGGATTTTGTAAAAATGGAATCATCAACTCCTATTTGCGTTTATAGGCAGAAGAAAATCCACATGTTTGTATTGTGACGCGTCATCAGCACCAGTTTGAACCAATTAACTTATGGGCCGGAATCATCGGGCAACATTTCATTGGACCATTTGTATTGCCTAGAAGGGGAACTGGGAAACTTTATTTGGAATTTCTCCAAGACAACTTGCCAGAACTTTTAGACCACCTACCTTTGGTAATACAATATGGTATGATTCATGTATGATGGAGCACCACCCCATTTTAGTCTGGCAGTTCGAGAACACTTAAACAGGCATTTCGACAATCATTGAGGACCAGTAGCTTAGCCTTCTCGATCACAAGATTTAAATCCATTAGATTTTTTTATGAAGGTATTTAAAAACTTTAGTCTATGCCAATCCAGTCGTCACTTGAGGAAACTTATTAGAAAGGATTAATTTTCATTGTCGCGAAATAAGGACCAATGTTGAAGCATTGTGGAAGATCCAGCAATCTGTAATTTATGATTAAATTAAAACAATCGTCAAATGTCGTTATGTGACGTAACAAACGCACACATCAACAACAATTTTGTAAAACAATTCCGATTCTGGTTCTACACATATTCAAACAAAATTTGGTATTATAAATCAAAATGAGAAAATGGCAAAAGTTTACCTTCCCAGAACATTGAAAAGTTGACCGGGCTCAGATGTAAGACATAAAAATTCCATTATTGATGTGTCACCTTAAAATATGAATGTCGGAAAGGAAGGTATCGTTACATTTAAAATATATGTTTATTTAGCCAGTGACATATACGTAATGCTTTTGAAAACAAAGTTTTATAATAATATATTTGCGTTGTTTTTTTAATTTAGTGGAAATTTATAGTAATTTTAAAAATTAAGAAATATTTTCACAAAATAGATAGGTATTTTAGATCTTCGCATTACTTCACAGTAGAGATGTGTTGAGTATTGTAAAAAAAACATTGTTTGTTTTTATTTGCAATACCTATAGGAGCAGCAAATAGGTAGTTAATTTTTTTTGAAATGTATACATTGTACATAATTATTTATATTTTATTATTAGCTCTCTCATTTTTTTGGTACAAAAAATTTAGATACCCAAAAGAGATTTAAACTCATGGACATAAGATTTGTAGCTGTTGATATTGCGGGAAACAAATCTACCACTCTATGACCTACATAACCTAACTAGCATTGAATATCACCAACAATATTTTACCTGACAGCGAGATTGTTAAACAATGCAGTCTTTCAAAGAAATATATTGCACTTTGGCCAACACGTAAAAATAGCTACTAGAGAAAGATCTTACTATTTCCACATTTTACTTAGGATATTTTTTTCAGATAGCCTTTTTACGAATGGAATTAATAGAACAAAAGTTGTTGCTTTTTTAATAAATTAATTTAATTAAAAGAAGTTGTATAGTGTTTTTTGATACCAAAAGTCTAGAATAATAGATAACAGAGTGTTAAGTATCCGATAAAATTTGTCTCTTACTTTACATTTTGCCCTAAAAATATTTTCGATATTCCCCTTAAACAACCAGTATTTCTAACGGCTATATGACCCTTCAAAGATTAGTTGTGGAATACAAGTTCAGATACAAACTTGTTATCGACATGTCTAGGTTAAGGTTTTTTTATAGTATGCTGAACTGGCGATTTAGGTTTTGGCCTCTTTCATTTATTTCTAAATGGTAGCTAGTACAGATGCGGACTATGAAAAATTTCCGACCGGAACTGCTTAAGGTCTGTTATTGTTTCATCTTTTAAACCTCTTTAAACATTTATGGTTGGAAACGTTTTTCATCCAGTATATATATGAAAAAAAAATTAAAAAAAAAGAAATAAGATATACCGAAAAAAGGAAATTGAAAAATGGAACGTTGTAGTTTATATGAAGTTATTAAATTAGTCAGTATTCAAAATTACCTATGCATAATTGAGATGCACTGGCTCATCATCATAAATAATAGTTTATAAACCACAACAAAACACAGTTGTTTATGTGGACAAAACAAAG